TTTAAGGTATAATGCACATTTTGGTACTTTAAGTAGAAAAAATTGATTAAAAAACAAAAAGTTTGAAGAAAGTTGCACATTCTGAGAGTTTAGTGTGGAATGAGAACTGCAGACAAACTTGATTTGAACTTTAATATCCTGAGTGTGCCGTTCATTATCTGCATGATCTTTGAGCAGCTGCCTGTAGAAGAAAATGACTCTGTGTGAAATAAAGACTTTGCTTGCTTCAAGACTTTACTTGAGTCGGTTGCGTCTCACAGATCTGCCTATTTATTCTGTCAGAAATCAGTTGCGTTAGAGCGAGATCTCTTTAAAACAAACCCCGATTGATCCATTGAAAACTACTGTACTTGTAGCAGATTCTGCTGTAGATCAAACTTACAGTTAGAATAGACCTCAAAGGAGAATGATGCTTTTAGTCATATTTAGAGCTTGAAAGATGTGATCTCCATTCACAGCAGCTTGAACATTCTGTCAAACATCTTTGGCAGATTGTGTTCCATAGAAGATGGTCACAAAGATTTGGTATGATATGACAACAATTTTCAGACCGGTATTTGGTCTTTTTCATGTGGTTTTGTAGCACTTCATTGCTTTATTCATGCTTTATGATCTATGATAAACCAGTGGAGGCTGTAGACTAAACACTCCTGGTCTGACTACATAAACCTGCATTCACCTCAAATGGCCACTTTTGTGAATCTGAACGTTGTGAATATTGTTGCTCTTCTCTTGGCTGGACCTCATGTTCCTTTATTTTCTTCACTGTTCAAATTTATTGTCCGACTCTGAATCCCATTTGGATAGCTCAAAATGTACTGCAAAGGGCCCAAGTTTATCAATGTTCTTCATAAAGTTTAGAAACAGTAAACTTCACGTGATACTCTGTTGGTCGATTTCATCACTTAAAAAGCTGATATTTTGAATGGGTCTGGTTGAAAAATTGTGTTACATAGAGCCGTTAGGAGTGAACATGTCTGCTTGTAGTGTCAGGTTTACTGTGCCATTTCCAGTTCCTCCACTTGTACTGAAAGAGATAAGTTCCTGTTTAAGTTTAAGTTGTTTATATTGCTGCTTTGTGGAAAAAGTCACAGTCATATTTCACCCCAAGGAAAAAAAAAAAAAAAAAAAAAAAAAAAAATAAATTAAAAAATATATATATAAAAAAAAGAATATTGTTTTATATATATATATATATGATTTAAACTTTAATATAGAGTGTGCCGAATCAGTAAATAAATTTTACTGTAATGCATTCACTTGTTTTTATCGGTAATAATTAGTAGTTGTCATTATTTTCTTATGATTCTTATTTTCATTTTTTAAATCATTACAGAAATTTACAAAAATACTTATACTTTTTAAAAATGTAAATCTGCATAAATTAAACACAGTCCAACAATTAGATACGGAATAGATGGAGGGACAATTAAAACAATTTAAATTATAAAAATGCAAACTAATAAGTTCAGTTAGATATGAATTAGTATTGAATTAATACTTAAGGTAAATATTATAATTTTATGCTTACTAAATTTATTTGAATAAATGGCTTACATTTTTCCTGGGTTAAAATACGACCTGGACATGTTCTTGACAGGTGAGCCTTGTTTCTATTCAGCCGGCCAGGCTGTTATTCCTTGGTTTACATACAGAATATAAAATCATATCTCTCTCCTCAGTAAATGTCCCGTGTGCATTTCAGATTGAGTTTACAAAAGGACCTGTAAGTGAACACCTGTATTCACTGTTTGCACTGAAGTAGGCTTTGTTCTGCTCCTTCACACTCCACATGATTTGTCCTCAGGCAGCAAGATGCTAAGTTTCAGCTATTTTTGTGAACAACAGAGATGAGAGTGCTTTAACATCTGATTTGTCATTTTGCAGTTTGAAGAAGCAACCAAACTGTGATCTCAGCGGATCATGTTGAAGTGTATTTTCCCACTACAATTCTGCCTCTTAAAACCGAACGTTCCTGATGTTCAAGATCTGACTTGTTTAACAGGTGATGTGTTGTGTTGTGCTGTAACCTGATCTTCAGGAATGTCAAAATATCATAGAATTCCTCAGTGGTCTGGTAATACATTTAGACATAATGAAAGAAACATTTCACTTCTGTCTAGAAATGTTTGTAATGTATGCAACGTGTGCAAAGCTCCTGTAAGATCTTTTATTTTTTAACAACATTAGTCAAGTATTCTTGCACCAAAAACGCTTTTGGTTAATTGTGGAATTTATGTGCAACCAGTATTACACTGAACAAAATTATAAATGCAACACTTTTGTTTTTGCCCCCATTTTTCATGAGCTGAACTCAAAGAACTAAGACTTTTTCTATGTAAAAAGGCCTATTTCTCTCAAATATTGTTCACAAATCTGTCTAAATCTGTGTTAGTGAGCACTTCTCCTTTGCCGAGATAATCCATCCACCTCACAGGTGTGGCATATCAAGATGCTGATGAGACAGCATGATTATTGCACAGGTGTGCCTTAGGCTGGCCACAATAAAAGGCCACTCTAAAATGTGCAGTTTTACTGTATTGCGGGGTCCGGGGGGGTCCGAAAACCAATCAGTATCTGGTGTGACCACCATTTGCCTCACGCAGTGCAACACATCTCCTTCGCATAGAGTTGATCAGGTTGTTGATTGTGGCCTGTGGAATGTTGGTCCACTCCTCTTCAATGGCTGTGCGAAGTTGCTGGATAATGGCAGGAACTGGAACGCGCTGTCGTATACGCCGATCCAGAGCATCCCAAACATGCTCAATGGGTGACATGTCCAGTGAGTATGCTGGCCATGCAAGAACTGGGATGTTTCAGCTTCCAGGAATTGTGTACAGATCCTTGCAACATGGGGCCGTGCATTATCATGCTGCAACATGAGGTGATGGTCGT